GCCCTTGTTAACTTTTGCAGTTCAGGAAAGTAGACTGCCTCGCGTACGCGTTGGATAGTTTTTCGAATACCAGCATGAGAAGCTAAAGGGCTGTCATGGAGCTCTTGCAGGATATTTAATCTAAGACTAGCTGGGATAACAGGTCGAAATTCGTTGTTGGAATTCGTAGTTTTTGTATAAAATAATAGACCATCTATTAGTTCGTAATGGGCCGCCCTATTTCTTATCGCCACAATATCTTGGTGGCTAAAATTTTCAGGATCCTTCAAATACTCATAAATACTTCCAAACTCAGGATCCTTACCCAGTTCGGTTATTACAGTTTCTCGGGAATTTATTGTACACGCTGTCAGCATTGCAACTTTTACGGTATTACCCTGTTCGTCTAATTTAATTCGTGATAGGGCATCTGCTACGATATTTTCCTTTCCGGGGGTATGCTTGATTACCAGATTATATTCTTGCAGCTTGAGTGCCCATCTTATTAACCTTGGGGATAAATTTTTTCCCTGAGTACAATCTAGTTACCGCCGCATGATCAGAATATACTGTTATCGGCGCCTTTCCAAAATAGACTCGGAACTTTTGCACTGCTAACAGAACTGCAAGTGCCTCTCTCTCGGTCGCGGAATAGTTTCTTTGTGTTTGATTTAAAGTTCGGCTAAAAAATGCCACGGGCTGCTGATTTTGCGAAAGTACCGCTCCTACCGCATAATCCGAAGCATCCGCTGAAATTTCTAAATTTTCATCCTTTTCAGGAAATTTCAACACAGGGGCTTGCGTTAATGCTTGTTTTAATTTTTCGAAAGCACTATTGGCTTCGGCCGTCCACGAGAATCTTGCCTTTTTCCTTTTTAATTTTAATTTTAACAATGGCTCAGCGATAGCCGCAAAATCTTTTATAAAGGACCTATAATATGAACAAAGTCCTAGAAAAGAAGAGAGCTTCTTTGCCGTGTTTGGAGTCGGATACTTTTGTACAGCGATTATTTTTGATTCATCTGTCTCGATCCCTTTTTGCGATATTTTGTAACCTAAATATTTTAATTCAGGGGCTGCAAATTTGCACTTTTCGACATTAACTTTTAGACCGGCCTCATTTAATAAAGAAAACACCTGTCTTAAATCCTGTACATGTTGGTCTAGATTATCACTAGTAATAATGATATCGTCTAAATAGATAAATGTGGACTTTCCAAGAACAGGTCTTAACACAATGTCCATGCATCGCTGAAATGTTGCTGGGGCCCCTGAAAGGCCAAACGGCATACGCAAAAATGCATAAGTGCCAGACTTGGTTATAAAAGCAGTCTTAGGCACGTCCTCAGGCCTGACCCCTATTTGAAAATAACCATTCGTTAAGTCTAAAGTCGTCATAAATTTGGTTGATTTTATGTTCCTTAAAATTTCTTCTATGAATCGGTAACGGATATACCGGATATTTCGTTATGGAATTTAATTTACGGTAATCAATAGCGAATCTCCACCTTTTTGGATGCTCCAAAGGATAATCATTATTTTTCTTACATAAAACCACCGGGCTAGCATAACTACTTGAGATGGGCGTTATGATCTTTTTACGTAGCATATCGGTAATATGCCATTCTATAATTTTTTCCTTATTCTTATCATACATACCGGTATGGTTTTTGACGAACCGGCAATGCATCTCCGGTGTCAATACTATGGTTAGTAACCTGAGTAAATCCTGGAATATCACTAAATAAGGAAGCAAATTCACTTACCACTTGTCGGATTCTATCTTGCTCGTCATTAGGCAGGTGGTGGTCAAGATTTAACCTTGGCGGTTCAACCTTTTTCTACACGCACTGGTTTCATCGTCAGCTTAAGGGACGCTTCATTAAAATCCAGTGTAGCTTGTGCGTCTGAAAGAAAGTCTATTCCTAGTATTAAATGTGCTTGCAAATTCTTTACTATAAAAAAACATCACCTTTACTTGTTCGTCCTTGATACGGATGTACAAAGGTACTTTACCTACGCACTTACATTGTTCTCCTTGCGCCGCTAATACTGTTGTATTATCCGCATTATATATGCGGTATTTGCGAAAATACTTTCTAAAAAAGACTCTTCTGCCACACAGGAACACTGCGCGCCGGTATCCAGGAGTGCGGTGGCCGGGATATTATTTACCAAGACTTCAATCTTCGGAAGAGTTAAATTTTTCACCATTACTGTATTTAACTTGTAGGAAGAGGGGTTTTCGTGGCCTTCGGATTTCCGCACCCTCTCGTCAGCAGAAATCCGTTTTAGTTTAAATTATTTTTCCTTTCCGGTGCTTTCCTTCTTTTTCCACTGGCCTTGAGACTTTTTTCCTGGGTTGCTATTGAACTGTCGACGTTCGCCGGCTGTTTTTGAATGCTCGGGTTTCCTTGCCCACTGATTCGCTTTTTCTCCGTAGCCATGTGCTTGAGTTTGCTGTAGTCTTGGCGTACCAAATTGGTTTCGCTGTTGATATTGGCGTCTTCTTTCGACGTCCGCCGTTCTTCTACTTTCAAACTGGATTGCTAGCTCAAATAACTTTTCCAGTGTAGTCGGATTTCTTAATTCAATAAAGTCTTGCACTTGGGGTAGTAACCTCGGCAAAATCACTTGAATTATTTCAGGATCCGGACGGTTTCCATACAAGAGCTTGAAAACGTGAATTTTTCTTAAAATAAAGCTCGAGAGGTTTTCGATTCTTTGTTGATATATACTGAAAAGTTCCGTTTCTAATTTCGCACGATCCCTTACAACAGGGAAGGCTTTTAGTAGGGCAGTCTTGAAATTTTCGTAAGTATAGGTGGGACTTCCTGCTTGACCCAAGAGACTTCTGCCGATACATTTGAACCAGTTAAGCGCTTGGCCCCTCAAAGCGCTGGTAGCTAAGGTAACTTTTTGAAACTCGTGCACGGGGTAGAGCATGAAGTGGTCATCCAATTTTTCCAAAAAACTGGTTACCGGTGAGTTTCCATTAAACGTTGCTTCTGGTTTCATCGAAGCGCGCATGGTCTGGACGATGTACCCAAATCCTTCCAGGGCGGCAGCTGGCATTTCTGGATTCTGAGCCGTTTCTGCAGGCAGCACAGGTTCTTCTTGAAACTCGGCCATGGTTATTCTTCTTCGTTGGGCGCCACTATCAGGTTCAATGTTCCTTCTAACCTTCTTCGGAAACATACAATGACCTGACTAGGAACAGAGAGCTTACTAAAGCTATGTTCACTAATTGTAGTAAGTAGACAGGATACAGACGAAGGGTATACAAAACCCTTTATTTTTTCTTTATATACAATGACTTCCGTACTTCGGAATACAATGACCCTCCACTCGGGGTCTAACGTAAAAAATATAAAAATAAAACTAAACTCTAATTTAACTTTAGAATAATACACGTGGAAGATTGGCCTTATAATAACAGGAAGCGTATGTAGCACAGAGACTGTGAACACTACAATACGTTTAATTTATCAAGAGGATTAAAACCTCTGGCCTGGAAGGCAAAGTAGCAACTGCGTAACTTCTAAGGTAAGCGGCCTGCTTCGAACTCACTGCTTCCTCTCCTTCGCTTGGCAAAAAGGCCACACTTAAATACTTGGCGTTCGCCAGACAAACTTTGCATAAAATCCTTAACGCTTATAATTCTGGCCGGAAGTAGAAAATAAGAAGTGATAGTAAAGATTTAAAATAAAATAAACGTTAGTAAAACTTAAGATCCTTACAACCTGAGCACCATAATGTACTACATATACAATAGATCCCTTCACGTATTATTCACATGGTAATGAGACTGCTGAAAGCAAAGGCTACTTCTGTTAAAAAGAACTTGAAAATGCTTACCTGATGTATAAAAAATCTCATTTCCTTTCATTTTATTTACGGCAAACCCTGTGCTGTTTTTGGCTTCTTATGCTATTATAAGTTTAAGAATTCATGAAGTCGGTTTAGCCCTGCTAGATTAGCTGGGATTAGAAGCAATTAACAGAGGGATTTTATTTCAGATTTTAAAACTGCCTTTCAGTAATCAATTGAAATCGTTCTGTCAAATGAAATGTCTGGCTTTTGAGGTTAATCGAGAATGCCAATTTCTTATTGAGCGAGTGTTCTATGAAATGAGTGGGTCGATATGCTCGGAAAGAAGAAAAGAATGTAAATAACAGATGAAAAGATCTCTCACCTTCCTACAAAACTTTATTCGTAAATGCTTGGAGCTTAGATCAAATGAACAGCTATATATTATTACCTCTTCTAAAAGCTGGAAAAACATTTTAGATTTAAAAACAGCAAATAAATCACATAAAAGAGCAGTTCCGAAATTCAGTTTGATGTTGGATTTAGTTGTCATCTGCTACTATGGTGGCACCTCAGAAAAACTGGACTACCAGCCTTGTGCAAAAGATGATGAAACGAACAGTATCCACATTATGAAATGCTCGGAATTCAATGGAATCTCCAAGCTGTCGGGGCGCTGAAAGCTTAATAACGTTTTACTGATTGATTTTGATGTCTTTTGATGTGATATTATTTTGTGTTTTGTGCATTATTGTAAAATATATGTCGTTTTGTCTTACCATTGGAGAAAACAAAACTGGTTGGGTGACAGCTCGCAAAGATCGACGATTATTCTGATTATACCTGATGAATTAAAGCAATTAACAACATTCAATAAGAATTTTCCACTTCAGACTGTTTGTAAGTCGTTATATTTCTCAATATTGCACAATTGTTATCGATAAGACTATGCGTAGGAAGCTTTCCACTAGGAAAAGACATTTTGACCTTCAGAGAGATCTTCATTCAGCGCTTTGCTAAAATGAATTAACGGAGTAACCATCCAATCAAATGATATTTGTAAAGATTAAATTAGACTGTAAAGATTAAATCAGATTTACATATTCGAATCTGTATGTAAATAATGATCAAAAACGATAAACTTTCGTTCATCAACTTCATTCATGATTTAATATGTGATTAAGAGATTTCAGAATAAAATGACATTCAACTATTATTAATATCTCCAGTTTTATTTTTATTGTCATTACATACAGCAACAATACACATCGCATGTAAACTTTCATGCTGTTTTCATCACAATTTCATGTCACTCACAAAGTATTACAGTAATATTTTTGTTGCTATGTACATCATTCATTTCTTGAATTGAATAAATATCATAATTTAATTGCAGTTTTAAACTGAATATAATAACTGCAAGTAGGTTCGTACAAAAAAAGAGCATTTAGGATGTGTGCAGCTTTTTTCGATTTATATATTTTCTATGATTAAAACAGAAAATTGGATTTTATGCTATATATAACATAACAACCCGAAAGAGATATGGTACAAAATTAATTCTCAGATATTTCTCTGAAGTGAACAGAAAGTTTTATTTAAGGTATTTATGTTAAATATCACCGAACACTGAGTAAAATCTGAATAAAATAGAAGAACAATTTTACATAATGTAAACCAATTACAAATGTAATTGGTACCGAGTATAGATATTCAAGAAAGATTTTCAGATAAGAAATTTCATTAAATTATCACGGAACATTTTGCAGAGAAATATTCTCTTCTCGTAAATAAAAGGAACTCTTATAAATAACAATCAAACATGGTTGTATTTTCTACATATAACTATGAATAACGCAATAACACTGCACTTCTTTTGAGTACAAGTTAATAGGGAAGAAAATATTAGAGACAATAAAGGTAATAGTTTTCAGTCGATAGATGCATTATTACTTAATTTGATTTATAATTATTATACTGCATAATTTCGCTCAAAAATGCTCTATAATATTAATATGCATAAAAGAATTTAATAAATTAGAAATACACAAAATAACTCGCCTTATTACTTTACGTATTATTCGCATGTAAAATAAAATCCAGAATTGAGCATTTAAAAGTATACCTTTCAATGTCGGATTTGAGGTATTTGAATAAAACTGCATTTAAATAAAAATTCCTTTTTGATAAATTTTCTCATTGCTTATATAAGGCTAATGAAAAAAGAAATGCATGCCTTTTCTGCAAATTCTTCATTTTATGCATTTATCCACCATAAACTTAAGAGTGCAGTTTGTTTCACGCATGTATTTAAATCAACTTTTGCTATGAAGAAGGTAACTTAAAATTTTGATCATTTAAGAAAATAAAACAGTTGTGTAGGGGATAAAGAATCAAATACTCAAAAAATAAAGTTCTCTGTTACAGCAAAAATCCATTAACTCTCGTGAAGCATATGAGTTTTTATTTCAAAATCGATTAGTTACAAATACAAAATTAGTGTAGCACTCAGTAAACATTAAAACTATCACGTCTACATAGTAACAATGGAAACACTGCGATAAATTTTGTCATTTAAACTAAAATGTTGTAAAATGCAAAACACAAAATACGTATTACTTAACAGACTTACAAAGTGTAGGGAAAACACATCTTCAAAACATCTTTAGTCAGTACATTAACAAATGTTAATATTTAGGTATAATGTTTCTAGTAAATAAGTAAGTAGTAAAGTAAATAAAGCAGAAATACGTTAAAGCAATACATCCGTAATATTTGGATAAATTTAGTATTAAACATGCGCATACATAATTCTGTTACAAATTAATCATGAAAAAAAAATCAATCAATACGTTATTCGACTATTGAACATAGCAAAAATAATGCAAAACTCACATTGTTGAGGTATGTGAACTGCAACACGCATTTCAGAATTTAGAAATTGCCCAAATAAATCTTTGGATGGTGTTATAAAACGTATTTCATTTGATATAGCAGTTGACTCCAGCATAAAGTTAAAATCTCGTGCAATTTATTGTGTGGAATCACCAGAAACACCGAACACAGCCTTTTATATGCTATACCGGGATTACACATAAATTTTTGTACACACAAAATTTTTCCTATACGGTCTTAAGCTCCAAGCTCAGTTTTACCTCTAAAATTTCGGCATCCTAAAAGAACTTTGCACATTTCAGTTCATTTATATTACAAAAGATTCAGCTTAGAAACATTTGCATTTCAAGCTCATTTGCTGACTCTATGAAATAAAAAGCTTTAAACTAGCTTTTTATTTTCTAATACTCTTTTGTATGCACATAGCACATGGCAATATACTTTTTGGTTTTTAACTTTCATTGTCTTTTGCTTCCACTGATGCCTGCAGTGAAGAGGGGGGGGGACCAGGGGGAACCCCAGTTTAGAAGACGCCCTTATTAATCCATTACTAATTGTCCTTACGCTGAGTTCAAATGTAGTGATTATCATCGATTAACTTCTATGCAAGACATTTGAAAATACATGGATCAAAGAAAAATGACGTAAATTTTCAAATATCCCGAGCAACCATTAGATATGAGGTTTCATAATATCAGATTGTCCTAACAACAGCTGTTGTTCTGAAATAACGTTAAGTTGTGTATGGAATAGTTCTTCATAAAAGGTTCACATACCAATTATTTTTATTGAATTTTGTTCGAATAACAACCAATTACCTCATTCAATTTTTTTAACATTGGGAAGCTCTTAGAAAATATTATATGTGTAAGAAGTTAACTGTATTGTATTTTTACGATCGAGAGTGATAACAACATAAGATACCTCAATAGAGTGAAATTTTCTCTTTCTGTGAAAATATGTAGTATACATGGGTTAATATCTCAATGGTAAACTCCGTAATTTAAACAATCGTAAAATTTTTTATATTTTCCATATTTTAAGTGTTATATCGCATAATGTACTCTCATTGTTCAATAATATAAGATGAAATGAAACTATTCCACAAAGAAATGATCCGCATCATGGGATTTATGCTCTGTGTTTTATGCTCACATGTACTTGATAATGATAAACACATTAAGTTCAAGAATTTGTAGTATAATTTAAGAGGAGATTTTTAAACTTGAATAGCAGCATTAACGGTAAATTCTTTTTGGATACACAGGGGGTTACGTTTAGGATATTTATGCGGTTTTTGGATAAGGCGGTCACCTTTGTTTCTGATTTGACTTATGAAACACGATGTTAGCAGGATCATCAGCAAGATCCGGGTACAGCTCAACGTCATGGTAATAGTCCCCTCTATAACCGGGTACTGAACTGGTTGAAAGAATATGTTCCTTTTCCTTTTCAGACCATTTCTGGGATCCTCTTTGGCTGGTTAAAATAATTTGTCTCTCCTGAGCCCATCGTTGGCCGACAGCGTGTTTCTTAGCATGTCTCAAAAGTCTCTGCCTTTCCTTGTGTGGATTCGTTCCATATCGAATGTTCAGTATAGCATGCTCTGAATGGACTCTGACATCAACATCTTCAGGTTTAGATTCATGAACTGTAGTGTTGATAGCTGTTCCAAGTCTCTGCAGTTGGTTCAAGTCATCGACAAATCTCCAAGCACTATCCTTAACAAAGTAGAATACGTCTTGACCATGCATAACAAGATGGAGATCCAACAAATAAGAATTGTTAAAAACAGAGGTAAATACATCTCTCCTGATGTTATCAGCTTCGTTAGAGACTCGTACTAAAGCCCTCTCACCAATGCGTGATACGGTAATCCCTGAACCGAACGGAACGCTCATTGTGCTGATTTTTGGAAGGACAGTTTCGAAGAGCTGCTCTCGTTTGACCTTTGGCCTTGCTACACTTGTTAAGGAAGCGAAGCTTTCCAGTTTTTGGCGTATTGCACATGCAAATCCAGATACAAGTGGCACTGATGGCATATCAAGGAAAAGAGGCATTGCTTCCTTGTCATAGATTTTGTGAAAAATGGAATCAGCCGCTAAATCTAAGCTGTCTATATCTATACCTTGACTTTTAATCCAGGCTGTGAGATCTGTAATGTAAAATAAGAATATTTGAAATCATTTATAAAAGTAGCTTGTAAAAAATAAAATTGTAAGAAAAAATATAATTTCGACAATTTGTATTGACGTCTATTAACATTTACGTTGTTTAAAAAACGGAAAGAAAACACATTCGAACTACAAATAAATATTAACAGCTCTAAATCTGAAGTAAAGAATTTTATTGATAAGAAGATCATAATAAGGGCATGTAACTTTCGACTGGTGACTTAAATGTAATAAAAATAGTTTAACTATTTGCAGTCGAACGGCGTCGCTACGGCGCGCGGGAGGTTTGGAGCGTTCACTGAATCGGCTGAAGCATCCACTCGAGCGGCGCCGCTACGCTCTCGGGAGTCGGATGCATCCACTTGATGTGCGCTATACCGGTGCTACGGCGTTTTGGAACTTGATCTGTTTATTTACGATGTGCGATAAGATGTTCTTATCTGAAATACTTTCGTGGACCAGACTCGGCTTGCGTTCTTAGTCAAATCTTAGCTTAGCTTAGTTAGGTTCGGCATAGCATTCGCTTGAACAAAAAATAAAATAAAATAAATGTAGCTTTAAGCATTTAGCTTTAATTTTGCCGATTTTTCTCGTCTCGAGTTGCTGGATGCTAAGTAAGTACTGCATGCACATGTAGTGAACATATTAATGAGGAGTGAGTTTCACTTGCAATTAATGCATTTATATGTCAAACCAGCAAAAACAAAAATAAAAAAATACATATAAATAATAGTAATAATAAAAACAGCTTAAGTAACCTTATAAGAATCGTACGAGGAAGCTAAAGTTGAATGTATTGATCAGCCTTTGATCTTAGTAACTTCTTTATCATTGTACATATACATGAAAATTTCTGAATCTTGCTAAAAAAATGGAGATGAATGAAGTTCATATACAACTAATATACTTACAAATTTGCTTTATGTTTTACTTTTAGTATCTACAGAATTTGAAAATACTTATTACGAAGGACAGTAAGATGGTCTTTGTAACAAAGATTTTCTAATTTATAATAATATGTTTTTTCGTAATAGATATTCTAAAGTTCAGCAATTTTTTAAAAATTAATTCTCTGAATGGCATGGCTTATTAGATCTATTTATGAAGTCCTGTATGTAAACAAAATTTATTAGTTAAATATCTATAATTACTTATTTTAGGTCCTGTTTTCATAAAGTTCCATTCATCAAGAAGATATTTAGATAAAAAACCAAGATATTTTAAATTATAATTAATATAAACCAAGTGAAAAAATATCTCATGACCGGATAAAGGCAGTCATACCACTCAGAAATATATAATTTAAATTTAGATTATACGAAGAGAGGAGTGAGTTATTTAACAAACAGGTAGCAAAGGCAAGAAATTTTATATCCAAACTTTTTTGCGCTTTTTGTGCTATAATATTCTACATAATCCTCCTCCTGCATTGGCGGTAACCTCGGATGTCGTATCCGCATATAATTTTCTCTTCTCCTAGTTTACGTAATTATAAGAGTGCAACGTATAATGCAGATGGTATACAAAATGCGCGTTAATCGATTACTCATGATATCGTTAAAGCTTCTGGTCTATGGAAGACTATTAACAGTTAAAATGCTCTTGAAGCCAAATCTTTTTTCCGGATTTGTAACTGCCTGGAGTGTTGACGTCCATAACTCCAGAAAGGGGAACGGGTCACCTGTAATTCATAAATCATTTTGTTTTGAATTTCATTGTGTAATTAATATAAGAAAAGGAAATTTTTTGGCAGATTCAAAAAAAAAAAAAATTATTTATCCGTACGAATTTAGATCTCTGTCATTGTCAGAAGTCTAGAAAACGCTTCTGACGTATTTCATCTTCTCTTTCAAAGAGGACCCTTTGAAGGCAATGCGAATTTTGACCATACAATGCAAGTTCCAGCTGAGGAGTCTGAAATGTCAAAACTAATCGCTGATGCACATCCTTAAAATCCTTGTTACTTTCGCTCCATTGGCACTTGAAAGAGCCTTCAAGCCTTTTCCCAGACCCGGCTTCTTATTGGCTAGTCAGCATTCACGCTCGAATTTCTATCGCCTTTCTTTCGCGGGGATCATCGGCGCATGCCAGTGACTACACAAAGGGATTCGAACATTCATTTGGGAAGCAGGCTTTTTAATAGCTCCCTTTTTTATTTTTTATTTTGTTTTATTTATTTATTTTTTCCAGTGTGCTTTCTCCGGTGAAAGTTTGCTTTGATTTGGTCCCCCCTTTTTTCCCCTGCTTTTCAAAAGACACAATGAAGTGTTTGAATGGAGATGACTAAATGGAAAAGTCTGGTGTTTTAAGATTACGAATGGGAGGTGTGCGAGTGCAATTGCATTTTTGTTACAGGTGTAAATAATGAAACAGTGAATTTCAGATAATTCGAAACATCACTTTTAACGAAAAAAATTTTCGCTTTTTTTAAAGCTTTCATCAGTCACCGAGAATGAGCTTTAATGTTCATGAGGTGGAACTATCTCAGAGGAATATTTTCGTCATTAAATCATTTTTGCCTGCAAGAGTATTTCAAATGGTAATCATGTGTAATAGCAAATGACTTCATAAACATAACTATGCTGATATTAATTAAAACTCTTAGAGTACATTAAAAAGAAACATTTAAACATACATAGTGGTGTAAATAAGCTATGGTGAACAGTGATGCAGAAAGATATTTTCGTATACTAAAATTCTCATTACGAGTCAACTACACTGGTTATCATAAATTAAGGAAAAATCACAAAAATCATGATTACTGAAAAAAGTTAGATGTAGAATTTTATGAAACGTACCCACAATATACGACATATAGTAAGGTATTAAATAACATAAAAATAAATTACCAGACAATTATGGTAGTATAGAAATTAGCACATCTATAAAATGACCAAATCGAAGGTATCAGTTTGCTATAGGAAAAGTACCTTCAATATGGAATATGGTCGCCTCTAGAAGCAATACAGCACATACAGCGATGCGTGATGCTTTCAGTTATGCGGTCTATCAGTTCCATAGGAAGCGAGAGCCATTGCTCTTGCAAAGCAGTTGCAAGCGCGGCAAGGGTCTGAGGGGGCGGATTGAGAGCAGCTAGACGTCTCTCTAAAGCATCCCAAACGTGCTCGATAGGATTCAAGTCCGGGGATTGAGCTGATCACTCCATGCGCATAATTGTTTCCTGTTGAAGATAATCATCTACGATGCGAGCCCTGTGTGGTCTTGCGCTATCGTCCTGTAACAGGAAAGCATCACCTATTGCCCCGGCACATAAGCATCAAGAATGTCATCCCTATAAACCGGAGCATTTACGGTTTCCGTTGGAAAGACATGGAGGTCTGTGCGTCCACCTAAAGAGATGCCACCCCAAACACAGACACTGCCTCTTCCGTATGCATCTCTTTAACGGATGTTTGACAGATGATAACGGGTTCCAGGTTCTCTTCATATCAAATAACGCCTACTATCTCTTTCTAGACTAAACCAGGACTCATCCGTAAAAAGAACAGCCCTCCACTGATCAGGCGTCCAGTGGACATATTGTCGTGCCTACTGCAAACGGTCCCTCGTATGGCGTGACGTAAGCGGCACGCAAATGGCTGGTCGTCTCGCATACAGACCACCTTCGTGAAGCCTTCTACGCACAGTTGACGTTGACACCAGGTGGCTGCAGCAAGGGAGGATCTAAGAAGTGTCGGAGTATCGGTTCTATTCCTGCGTGCACATAATGTCAAATATCGGTCATCGGCGCTCATCGTAGCAGTTGACCGTCCTTGGCTTAACCTCCTAGAGGCCGAATCTGTAGTTTGGAACCGCCTCCAAAGTCTATGAACCACAAAAGGACTTACATTTAGCCATCTGGACACTTCTGTTTGACTTTATCCTGACTCTAGTCTCCCAATGACTTTCCATTGTAGTTCTGCAGGCAAATGATGCCGGAAGGTCATTGTTACGAATTGGTTATCTCACAATTCTGATGTCACTATCACAGTAAAATATGTGGGCTTCCTCTCAAACATGGACTTTTATTCTCCTCACAGATGACGTATTCCGAGTGCAGCGCCACTGATTTGCATATGGGAGTTTTACTCAGCTACTCTTACTTGGCAACATATTCAAATTTTACACGGTTTGGCTTATTTTTGAGGAAGTTATCGCTATTTTTGTGATTTTTCCTTAATTTATGATAACCAGTGTATGATAACTGGTTATTATGATATAAGGTATTTTTTTCGCCTTCTTAGCATGTCTTCGTGGTGATTTGGTTAGCACGCTTGACGGGAATTCGACAGGTCTGTGGTTCGAGTCCCGGAGAAGGCGTTGTTCATTTTTCATCTTTCCTGCTTAAAAAAAAAAAAAAAAAAAAAAAAAAAAAAAGTCTCTACAGTGGCACCCGAACTAAAATGGAATGGATGATGATTCTCCGCCACCCGAATTTGGCTATTGGGTTCCCTAATCCTCAGTCACCCTTTAAAAGGGGGAGTATATAAGGTATTTCTCCCGCCTTCTTAGTATGCCTTCGTGGTGTAGTGGTAAGCACACTCGATGCGAATTCGAAGGGCCCGAGCGAGGGCATTGCTCATTTTTCACATCTCTTGCTTCGAAATAACCTAATGTCTCTACAATGAAGTATGTTGATATAGACATTTATAGACTGAGATTTTAAAATTTGATACATTGATCATAGACATCACGAATATAAATACACATATTCATTCAAGAATGATTCTTTAGAGTTAATAATTATGCCATTGGAAGCTGGAGGAAATTCGAAAAGAAAAAAAGTCAAAAATTTGAGGAGACAGGGACGGAGAATTTTTCTAGTGGCACTGACTTTAAGAAGGTTAGGTTAGATGACTTGGTTAGAGCAGAGCAATTCGAAAGCTCTCTATCTAAAGGGAGGAATGCCTTCATAAAAGACGTTTAAGTGAAACTAGGTCATATCCACATTACACATGAGGAAAACTACCATGCAGCCAGC